AGGAGGAAGGGAGCCATAAGTCCCTAAGGTATGCACCAAAGACAAACCTTTGCTTTCTCAATTATTTATGCCAGCTGAGGTTTTACAGGCTGAATAAATCCATAACTCAAGTTCATTCTGAGCAGTCAGATTCTCCAGGGGGAGTTGCCCACTTGCCTATACACACTTGTGTAGTCCTCAAAGAATAACCAGAATGTAACAAGACATATGTCATCCAATTTATCACCTATCACCAAGGTGTTAACACAATGTTGATCACAGGCAACATAGTGAAATAGGGAAGTATTACACTACCACCAGCCAAACAGATGGAGGGAAGCTTTTTGGTGCTTAAAGGCAGTGGTATCATTAGGATAGTGGTGTTCCAGAATGACTTGGCCTGTTAAATGCATAAAAATTTAAATATTCAATTTTTAAAAACACAAATATGTATAACACACACTCTTGAAGCTTAAGAATCTTTAAGTAGATTTGTTAAAAACAGGCTGCAATCTAAAATGTGAAGCTTTGAATAAATAGAATTTTATAACATCTGATTTTAGAAGTAATTTACAATAAAACTATACAAGATACAGCTTTTTCTCCAATCATATCTCTTTCAGGAAAATTTTAGAGTATAATTTATGTGTGACAGGCTTTTATGCTACTTCCAACCTAGTTCATATTTCACCAAGAATACAAAATTAAAGCATAAAACAATCACTTTCATTCTAATTTTTATACTTATAGTCTTCCATTTATAATCAGGACTAGACAGCAGCCAATGAAAAGATATTTGGGAAATATTTTCAAAATCCATTATTGTTTAAAAATGGAAACTTCATAAGTTAATGATGAAAGCATCTCTTTGAAATTCTACAGGCTTTTGTGTCTGACCACAAGCAGCGACCTCTGGTATTTTCTGCCAAAACACTTCATTTGTCTCACAGAACAACTAATCAATTCCAGAGCCCATCAATCATTTCAGTTGTATACTAGGTCTGGTCTTGCTTAGAGAAGGTCCAGATGGCTGTCTGTGTAAGTGGAATTAATAAAATTCTAATAGATTACATGACATCAAACTACAAAATATAACAGGGAGGACCAAATCTTACTGCAGGGTGGTGTGGGTACTGTTCAATCTTCATTTACTATATTTTTAATTCTTGCCCTAATTTCTCAATTTATGTGCAAACTTCTAGATCAAACCTTTGAAGCATATAAGTAACCAGAAGCAATTTCCTGTATACGTAGTGAAGAATCATTTTACTCTACAAACCCCTATGCTTATTAACCAGTACTTTTTCTGCCCATCTGCAGTATAAATGAAAAACACAGCTGATCTCAAAACTAGAGGTTACTCCCAGTTATAAGATTTGTTACTTTCTTGTTTCTATAGTTCTAAAAATATCGGCTCTCCCTTCCTTGTTTTCCATTTTCTTTTGCAAAAGCAAACAACTTGTATTTAATTATATAACCAGAATGCCATGTTATTTTAGCTCCTAACATCAGCTCCTTGCTGCTCTAGGGACCCCCTCTGCTGAGTAACAATACTATTTATAAAAGCTAACAGTTACACAGTGACTTTTTTTGCACCAGATACTGTTCCAGGATGTCTGTGTATTGACATAATCTGCTAAGTATCAAGTGAGACAAGTACTATAATTATCACCATTTTACAGGTAAGTAACTTGCCCAAGATTACACAGCTAGTAAGTGGTGGAACTAGCATTTGAATGTCAGCAGTTTGGCTCCATAACTTTTTGTACTTAATTAGAATACCCCCACACCCCCTCAATTACATTACAGAACAATTAACTAGCTTCAGAATGAGAAACTGATGTCAGAGCTCTGCGATATTAACACAGAGATCTGAACCTCTGACATTATATTGATGCTTTCTATGACAGAGTGGAAAGCAGGAAGCAAGCTCAGAATTGGCCCCCATGGCCCTCGGCTCAAGAACATTTACCTTAAAACTAAAACAAACTCATAACTCATCATCTATTATACAATACACATTCATCAGAAAAGCTGCCAAAACAATGGAACCCAAACTTAACCAAATGGATTTATTAGATACTGATTTGCCTGATCTTTACAAATGTAAAAAAAAAAAAAAAAAAAAGGGCCCTGAGGTTTATATATTACAGTATCAAAACAAACCTTTAAAACACATTATTTTATGTCCTTTTTTAAAAACAACAGTTCCATAGAAAAGAATTTTTGCTTTCATCCAAGTCTACCATTTGATGCTTCTAAAACTCTAAAACCTACTGTCACTTTCACCTCAGTTAAATATAATTCTGCCAAGAAATTGCAGTTAACACCAATTAAAGCACAACTTTCTCTTAGAAAAATAAAACACACCAGATATATTTCACCAAAATACAAGCATAATTTGATTACATAACTTCAACAAATAACCCATTTTCATTGTTGCAATTGCATTCTGACATGTAAGAAACTATAGAGACTACATCTGGCTCTTCACTGGAATAATTCAACATTTCAGTATATAAGAATTTTCATGCTGGACACAGCGCCTCACACCTGTAATCCCAGCACTTTGGGAGGCCAAGGTGGACGGATCACGAGGTCAAGGGATCGAGACCATCCTGGCTAACACGGTGAAACCCCACCTCTACTAAAAATACAAAAATTAGCTGGAACTACAGGCGTGATGGTGTGCACCTGTAGTTCCAGCTACTCAGGAGGCTGATGTTGCAGTAAGCTGAGATCGTACCACTGCACTCCAGCCTAGTGACAGAGCAAGACTCTGTCTCTGAAAAAAAAAAAAAAAAAAAAAAAAAAAGAATTTTCATTATGGCCTAATTTGTTATAATGGAATTCTACTATACTATAAAAACAACTCTCCCAATATAAGAATATGATTAGTTGCTGTAATTTTTGATCTGCTGTAGTAACAACATTACTGTGTTTGTAATAAATGGCTTTCAATGGCTTGTTCACATTCATGTTTCGTACTCTTTCTTAACAATATGTTCAGAATATGAAGATTTAGATGATATCCTAAGACTGATACTTAATGAAGACTTCATTAAAAAAAGGTCAAGTCTAACCAGTTTTGCCCACAAAGTTCATATTTCATTCAATTAATAATATTTATTAAACATACTTTCATGAAAATGCCAAAAGTAGTATGAACATATTATTCAAAAGTGAAGAAGCTGAGAAGCACAAATATTCACAATGTTTTGTGTCATTACAGGTTCATAATAAATGTGTGTTGAATTAAAATCTCTACAAAAACAAACTATAATATTCTTTGTCATTGTTTATCATGGTCAAAATTCTAAATACTGATTTAAATCTAAGAACCGCTTCATTAGCAATTGGGTGGAGGACAAAGGAAGGAAGATTAACCCTTTCAACACAGTTTAACTCTATCTCAGGATTTCTACTCTCACTACAACTGGAGTACATTTGATTTGCTTCATGTTCTGTAGGGCTGCTGTGATCAGTCATGTCATCAGACATTCGAAAAGACACTGTATTCAGTATGTCATTTTGAAAAATACTAGAGTCTGGGAGCCCTCAAGGAAAATGGCATACAAAATAAAGATCATAATTTACAGAGAAGTGATTGATATTGTTAGAAACTTAAGCAGTGACTTTTTTTAAAAAAAGGACAGTCAAGAAACTATCTCAATTTATTTATCTAACTAGGAAAGAAAAATAGCCTATACATTTTTTATTGTTTAAGGGAAAGAGGTGAGGATGGGCATATCACAGAAGAACCAAACTAGCAGCTCTCAGTTTTACAATAGGGCTCTTAGGCTAACTCCGCAGAAGCAATAGTCACTAAACTATCAGTTCTTCAACAGAAGCAGCTGTGGCTACCTCCCAAGTTCTGAGCACTTTCACTGAAGATCTACTAAGTTTGGGGGACTTCCTCAGATAGTGAGAATGCAAAGATGGGTAAAATATGATCCTCACTATCAAAAACTAAAAGTTAAAAGTATTTCTAGGTATACAGTTCAGTAGTGTTAAGTATATTCACACTGTTGTGCAATCTCCATAACTTTTTCACCTTGTAAAACTGAAACTCTGTCCCCATTAAACAACTTCCCATTTCCCCTATCCCCTAGCTCCTGGCAACCACCATTTTACTGTCTCTCTCATTTTTGAATACTTTGTTTCTGTGAGTTTGACTACTTCAAATACTTCATGTAAGTATAATCGCAAAGTGTTTGTGTCTTTGTGACTTGTTTATTTCACTTAGCATAATGTCCTCAAGGTTCATACATGTTGCAACAGGTGTCAAAACTTCCTTTTTAAGGCTGAATAATATTCCATTGTATATACCACAACTCGTTTATCCATTCGTCAACAGATGCTTCCATCTATTGGCTACTGTATAGAATGCTGCTATGAACATGGGTGTGCAAATATGTCTTTGATATTCTGCTTTCTTTTGGATACATACCCAGAAGCAGAATTGGTGGATCATATGGTAATTCTATTTTAACTTTCCAAGGAAATTTCCGTTTTCCACAATGGCTGTATCATTTTATACTCCAAAATGACTTTTAATTTAGAGCAAACTAAATTTTAATTAAACAAATTAAAATCTTTAAAAGAAATAGTAGTATTTTAAGGAAAATTAACACAAAAATCCTTAGCTTTAGACTGAGACACAACATCTTGTCCCACCAACTACTTGTGTGGGGAAAAGTCACTGAATGAGACAGTTGTTATTAGACACTGATGAAAAGTAATTATTATCACTTATTCAGACACTTCTCTGGCACTGGTTCAGACATTTAATTGATTTTAAAGATTATACACCTAAAAAATTATTTCCTGTCATTTATTGTTCTGCTTGCAAATACCACCAAATCAATTTCATGTTACGAAGGAATGCTTCACAAATTGAAGAATTCAGGATTAAAAACATATAGTACATATATACACACACATAAGCACATACATACAAACACACACACACACACACAGGCATATATATTTCTATTATCAAAGATCAGAAGAGAAATTACCTGATGGTTTCTTCATGATATAGAGAACTAATAACTGGCCCACCAAAACCAGTATTTGCTTCTTTTCCTTTTTTCTCTGGTATCTGTGGGAAGGGGGGAAAAAAGTGAAGAAAAGACAAATGGGTTAAAACAGTATGTATTTAAATCAGTTACAAAATGTTATTTTGCTAAGACTAAGGATTTTACCCTCAACCATCTCTTCAAACCCTAGTAAAAATTTCAAGGTGGTAACAGAAGGCAGTAAGAGTCTCAGTTCATCATAGGAGTGGAATGGGTACATGCTGGCAATCTAAGGTATTCAGTACAACCTTCTGGAGCCACCAAAAAACAATTCTCCTAGCTGACTGTGAGATGATGTTCAATGTGGTAAATATGGATATTCAGGTGAGGAAAAGAAAAACAAATCCCAGACATGAATGTGATCAGCAAAATCATATCTAGATTTATAAAATAAAAGTTCCCAAATAAGAAGCTACATTACAGTAAAAGTTCAAATTTAATTATAAAGAAAATGTTTTTAGATTAAAAAATAAAGGAAGGAGAAAAGATAGAAGAGGGATAGGAAAGGAGGTTTATATCTCAAATAAAAGAAAAAAGAAGTAAACTACACAGAAATACTTTCCAAACTCAAGGATTCAATAGGTCTTGCCCCTCTATGTTCTCAGAACAAGAGTAAAATTAATTTAGTAATAAGATTCTAATTTACAAGAGTAAAATTAATTTAGTAATAAGATTCTTCTAAAATATGTAATTGGAAGCAATGAACCTGGATAATACTGTCTGCAAGGATCAAAGTGCAACCTCTGCAAAGCCCCATGTATTGACAGCTTTTAGTACAGGACATCCTGCAAAAGTCAAAACTCTGATTCCGGACATAAATATTCCTTTAGAATCAAAATTACATTATGATTTAATTTGACTGCAAAAAGACTAGTTTTACTTCAAATAAAATACAGACAATCCCCACACACATTTTTTCAGTACTCAAGAGAAGTACGAGTTTTGTTTTATTTTGTTTGTTTGTTTCAGTCTGTGGATCACTGGACTGAGGGAAAAGACTCCCCCCGCCCCCAGAGATAGCATATTCTATCTGTTCCTAACACTATTGGGGGGACTAAGGCTTCAAAAAACGTAAAATTTTGAGGAGATGAATCAAGTCAGTTATCAACTTGTAATAGAAACAAAGTTATAAAATCATAGACAACAACTATTAACATGATTAAATGACAAAGTATATAAAGTGTATTAGTATGATGCTAGCAAACAAGAAGCAGTAGGTAAATGACAGATTTCTCTGTGCTCTGAGGGCCATTTTTAGAGAATAAATGCTATGAAGATTTCTGGGATAGATAATGTATTTCTTTATACCCAAAAAAAGTAGAGATGATCCCCAACTTACAATGGTTCAATTTACAACATTTTTGACTTTTAATGGATTTATCAGTATGTATCCTCATTATAAGGTGAGGAACGCGTACAAAGGGAGAACTTATTTTACTTAATCCAATTATATTCCAAATACACGCTCCATTGATAGGATAAAACTAAAACATACTTGGTGCTCGAGATGATAACTACATAAACAAAACTAAAAATGAGAAAACTGGATACCAAAGGAAAAAAAAAATAGAGATAGAACCAAGTATGAAGTGGCAAGCATAGCTTCTTAAAAAATAATGACTCCTAGAAGGTAACATGGGGGAAAATCTAGGTGATATTGGGTTTGGCAATGACTTTTTACATGCAATATCAAAAGTATAATCCATGACAGGCCGGGTGCAGTGGCTCACACCTATAATCCCTGTACTTTGGGAGGCTGAGGTAGGTGGATCTCTTGAGGTCAGGAGTTTGAGACCAGCCTGGCCAACATGGCAAAACACCACCTCGACTAAAAATACAAAAAACTAGCCAGGCATGGTAGTGCATGCCTGTAGTACCAGCCACCTGGGAGGCTGAAGCACAAGAATTGCTTGCAGAAGTTGGATGCAGAAGTTTCAGTGAGCCAAGATCACACCACTGCACTCCAGTCTGGCAATAGAGCAAGATTCTGTCTCAAAATATATATATATATAATCCATGAGAGAAAAAAATGATTAGTAGGTCTTTATTAAATTGAATTAAAATTGAAAATTTCTGCTCTGTGAAAAATATTGTTCAGACAATGCAATGACCAGCCATAAACTGAAAAAAAATTTGCAAAACACATATCTAATAAAGAACTGGTATCCAAAATATTCAAAGAATTCTTAAAACTCAACACTAAGAAAATAAGTTACCCAATGAAAAGTGAGTAAAAGATCTAAATAGACAACTTATCAAAGAAGATACAGAGATAGGAAATAAGCGAGTGACAAGATGTTTAAACATCATGTCATTAAAGAAACGCAAATGAAAACAAAAATGAGAAACCACTACACACCTACTGGAACGGCTAAAATCCAATATGTCCTTAAATAGATTAATAAACAAATGATACACCCATAAAATAGGATATTATTTAGCAACACAAGAAATGAGCTATTCTAGGTTAACTAAGAAAAAAGAAGTCAGGTAACTCAGAAATGAAAGTAGAGATATTACAATTAATGCCACAGAAATACAAAGAATCATAAGAGATAACTATGAACAATTATATGCCAAAAAACTGGATAACCTAGAAGAAATGAATAAATTCCTGGAAACATACAATCTACCATGACTGAATCACGAACAAATTAAAAATCTGACAGACCTATCACCAAGAAAGAGACTCAATCAGTAATAAAAAAAAAAACTTCCCAACAAAGAAAAGCCCAGAACCAGATCACTTCACTGGAGAATTCTATCAAATTTAAAGAATTAACACCAATCCTCTTCAAACTTCAAAATAATTAAAGAAAAGGGAACACTTCTAACTCAATTTATGAGGTCTTATTCTCATATCAAAGCCAAAAATACTGCAAGAAAACTAAAACCAGTATCCCAGGATATTAATCCAAAAAATCAGCTAAATATTAACAAACTGAATTTAACACTGTATTAAAAGGATTATACATCATGATCAAGTGGGATTTATTCCTGGAATGTAAAGATGGTTCAACACACAAAAAACAATCATATAACACAGCATATTAACACAATGAAGGACAAAACCCACATGATCATCTCAATTGATACAGAAAAAGTACCTGACAAAATTCAACATGTGTTCATGATAAAAACACTAAATAAACTAGGAATAGAATAAAACTACCTCAACACAATAAAGGCCATATATGAAAAGGCCAGAGCTACCAACATACTCAGTGGTGAAAAACTAAAAGCTTTCTCTCTAAGATCAGGAACAAGGCAAAGATATCCATTCTCATCACTTCTTTTCAAGATGGCAACCAAGCCAGAGTGATCAGATAAGAAATAAAAGGCATTTGTGGTGTTACGTTGTGTGTGTGTGTGTGTGTGTGTGTGTGTGTGTGTGTGTACAGAAAGAGAAAGAGCGAGAGAGAGAGCATGCACACAAGAGAGATTTGTTTTTGTCCATGGTTCCTGACTTCTAACTCCTATAGCCCTTGTTACAGTCTTTCATTATATAATTAGGTTGAGTCAGGCCTGCAAGAGCAAGCCTCAGGAAAGAGAATCTATGGGACTTTCTCCTGCCCTCCTTTTACCTGCCCCAAGTTACACTTTCTGACTGTGGGTCACAATCCCCAGAGACAGTCCTGCCCTATACCCTAGGGGAAGGAATACTGACATCATGAAACCCAAGAGGAATGGGTGCTGGGAGCTTGGGGACAGAGGAACACATGGAGGTCCCTGGAGGGTGGCATGCCCAGAGAGAGGTCATGAAAGCTCCATGTTCCCTCCTCCATGCCTCACCCTACACATCTCCTTGTAATCCAAAAATAAAATTCTAAGCCCTACAACCAACTGGATGAACCCCTCCTCTCAGCTAAGGTTTCTCCAAAGAAACCTGAAAACCTAGTTCAGGCCATGATGGGAAGTCGGGTCTGGACATGCCTCATTATACTTTCCTCCTTTTGGTATTCAGGAACAACTGACCAGCATTAACATTAAAACAAAGATCTTACAACTGACAAAAAAGACTCTTTGTATCAATAAGATATCAAATTCCAACCCGACTCCAGCATAGCATCACATGACAGAAAGCAGGCCCTGCATGAAATCAAAATATTTTACCCCAAAATATATTTGACATATTTGAAAAGACCCTGCAAAGCCATCTCTTAAAAGGGAAATTTTACATTATGTAAAGAATCCTCTTTCCTTTCCAGGCCTTTTTCTGATCCTAAAGAGATGAGCTGAGAGATCTGAAGAATCTTTTAAAGATCTGAACAGGAAACAATTGTCATCTATTGCATCTAACAGTGGCCACCTATGAGACTTCATCTATATAGTAAGAACCTTGGTCTCCACAAACCCTTAACTTAGATATTCCTTTCTATTGATTCCAAGCTTTTAGATAATAACTTTTAACTCTCAACCAACTGCCAATCAGAAAATCTTTGAATCCACCTACGACCTAAATATAAGTCTCTGCTTCGAGTTGTCCTGCCTTTCCAGACCAAACCAATGTATACCTCACATGTATTAATAAACCAGGAATAGAATAAAACTACCTCAACAGGCCATAGCTGCCACTGAGCCTGCCACCAATGCCTCTAGGCAGAAGGTGGCTGTGGCACCCACAAATGCCAATCTTGGCAAAACTGAAAGGGATGTCTTCACCAAGGTTTATGGATTTGGCTTAATAAAGCTTGATTTGAAAGCAAAATCTGAGAATGAAACGGAATTCACAAGCTCAGCCTCAGCCAACACTGAGACCACCAAAGCGATGGGCAGTCTGGAAACCAAGTATAGATGGACTGAGTACGGCCTGACGTTTATGGAGAAATGGAACACCAACAATACACTTGGCATCGAGATTACCGTGGAAGTTCAGCTTGCATACACTTGGCATCGAGATTACCGTGAAGTTCAGCTTGCACGTGACCGAAGCTACCTCTCGATTCATCTTTCTCACATAACGCTGGGGAAAAAACGCTAAAATCAACACAGGGCACAAAGCAGAAGCATTACTAACCCGGGC